ATATTTGAATGTTTCTATAAAGCTATCATATTTGGTATTAATATCAGGAGCATCATATACTGAGTTCCAGTCCTCTGACTGTAGCCTTATTTTAAGTTCATGAAGATTTTCATCAGTAATTATTCTTTTTTCTAAGGTTTTACTTTGGTTTGAGATACTATTTTGGTTTGAGATAATTTCAGGTAGGCCTATTTCTATTGAGATAGCACAGTAGTCTGAAATATGGGGTTCTTTTACTGCTGCTGATAATATTTCAAAGTTGGTTAAAAAATTGTCTATGCATGTGCTGGTTGTGTCTGTAATTCTAGTTGGTTCAAAAATATTTGGTTTCATATCAAAAGTGTTGTCATCCTTGATCAAGTCGATATTGAAATCTGAGCCTATTACTATATATTTATTCTTAATGTCCAGTTTAAGTAGATATTCATTTAATTTGCTAAAGTATTCATCAAGGTTGCTGCTGTATGGAGACCTGTACATGGAAGCTACTACAAACTGTTTATTTCTCACAGAAAAACTTATTTCAGCACACTCAAAAATTGTTTCTTTTGAAAAGGTTGTTCCTATGTCTGTGGACTTAAGGCTATCGAGTTTTATGGAATTTTTATTTTTGAAAATTGCTACACCACCCATATTTTTATACTCTCTGCCATAACCAGCAATAAATTCAAAGTTTTCTATTCTAAATTCTGATAGGCTATTTTGGTCTAGACCATGTTCATTAATAAGAAATAAATCTGGGTTTTCTGATTCTAAAAAATGTTCGATTTGTTCAATTTTATTTGTGATTCCCCTTACATTCAAATGAGTTATCTTAAAATTGTTTTTCTGTGTGAACCTTATTCTGTTCTTACGATCTAAGTGTTTTCTGTTTCGGTTGCCGGTTGCAAGTTTTTTGTTATGTTTTTAGAGGTTTCGATTGCCGATTGTGAGATTTTTTTAATTTCAGAAGTGTTGGCTGTCAATTGCAAGTCATTTGTGATTGGAGAGGTTTCAGTGGTAGATTGTAAGTTTTTTGTAGTTTCAGAAGGCTTAGGTAAATCAAGCTTCCTCATTAGAGTTTTTGATTTCAAATTCAAATCAATTGAAGTCAGGTAGGCTAGTATTATACTGCACATAGTTTCTTTCCCAAGCTTGTTTAGGTGCATTCCGCTTTTTGTGTAGCAATTGCGATCAATCATTGAGTTTAGGCTTAGGTAGGCTACCTTGTTCCTGACACAAAATTCTCTAATCAGGGTATTTTGTTTCTTTATATTTTCATTTGGGACAGTTTTTGATATCAAGGTGGGCGTTTCAACGAGGATCAGGTTTTTTGGTTGGATTAGAGTTTGTTCTATTTCAGCAAGCACCTGTTTTACATTATTAGTGGACTGAGCCGTTACATTGTTAGTTCCACCAACCACAACACAGGTGTCCTTCGGTGTCATATCCTTAAGCTCCTTTTTAGCTGTAACCAACACCGTGGCCATGGGTGCTCCGGGCAGCACGATAGCCTGAGCTTGACTACCGCACCCCCCCCTTTGCAGCCCATGTGTCTCAACTCTTCCCCACAGTGTCTCGCATGGCTGTCTCCAACAATTACTAACCGTGGCTTTTTTTGCCTACTAAGTTTAATAGGCTTCTTAACTAGGGCCATGGGTTTTTTAGGCCTAACACTAGTTGGAGACTTTTTGTTGTGTGCTCCTGCAGCCGTCTGCAACCCCTCCCCGCCCATCTCCGCCAACACCTCAAATGAATTTGGGGTAGTCAGAGAGGGACCAGGAGCAGCCACAGCCGGTTCCCTACATCCCTTCCTCCTACTCACCACATCCGACCAGCTATTTTCACTTGGTTTAGTATTCAGAAGATTTTCACTGAGCTCAATTAATTTAGTTTCTTTCAGATTTAGCTGTTCCTCAAGTTCCCTCTTTTCCTTCAAGAGTGACTCAGCCAAGTCACGAGCTTTCTCATACTCATTTTTTATTACCTCATAAGGAAGTGGATTGTTACCTTTCTTGTGTAACCTAATACAGACTGGACACACATAGGAATCTTTGCTAGAAATTAGCCTAAAAATAGATTTTTTCAAACGGCTACAAGCTATGTCAGAATGTACCCAAGCATCACAAATGTCGCAAGCTATGGAGCTACTTTTGTCATCTAAAATTATTTTGTTGCAGACTTTGCAGGAATCCTGCTTAGACTTGTTTGGAGTTGGTGTTTTAGGAGGTATTTTAGGTGTTTTAGAAGTTGGTGTTTTTGGAGAATTTAGTGATATCTTTCTTTGGGGTGTTGGCATTTTCCAAAGTTGTGTTTTTTGTGGTTTAGTTCAAATGTAAGTATGATTGCAGTCCTAGGGCTGCCAAGAGAGTACCAAAGGCCTTGAGGAAAAAAATTACTTAATCTAAGTTGTCTTACCTGTAGTTCAATCGGAAGTTAGTTAACAGATTATTCTTTGTTGTTATTTTGGTAGGTGAGTTAAAAGGTAATTTTAGTTGGTAAGCAGTGGATATTACAGCGTGATGAGAAAAACGGGATTTACGGCTTGACGAGGCTTCCTCCAAGATGGCGAGCGTTGCTTCCTCCTCGCTGCCAGCAGTCAATTCTTCATATTACGCTGTTATACTTGATTCCCAATTAGAACTTTTGTCATCATCACAATTAATTGCAGGCTTTTCAAATTTCCCGGAGACGAGGGTCGGAATCGGAGGGTCACTGTCACTATCATCAGCTTGGCTGACTGAGTGACTGGCCTCAGTGTTTATTCTCTATGTTTGGATCCGATACAGTTATTTCTACCACAAATCTGATTGGATCGAACCAAAGATGGTTCTGTAAACCTAAGGCAGTATGTATAATATTATAAAGTCTTGAAAACTCAATGGTAAGTATATTATGAAATAGGTCTAAAGGACTACTTTTTTATCGTCCTCCTACCTCTTTCCCCTTAGAGCACAGTTAAAACCATTATTTTAACATTGATCGATTTAACAAATTTATTTAGAACAAAAACTGTTAGATAGCCCTAAAACTATGCTTTACTTTTCAACTGAAATCTGGTTCAGTAGTAGTGAATGAAAATTAAACGCCTTTTTACAAAGTCAGCGGTGTTTCAAAACACTCAAACCACTCTTACAGCCTATAGAGAAGCTAATGTGTTTTCATTGCTTCCTCATCTTCAACTCCAACCCTTTTAAATCATTATCGTAACAAGGAAGAGGTCTCTAATTGCTCGGCTCTCTTTTGCTTCCGACTGTTGAAGAAATACTACTAAAACAAGAGCAATTTGTGCTTACACATTCTTGGGGTCTCAGAAAAGGATCCGCAATTTAAATGAAGTTTTTTTACCACTTATATTGGTACCTATATTATTATCGTAGAAATATTTTGTAGCCTATAAAATATTTGTTATGAAATAAATTAAATTTTTTTAAAGCAATACATTGGGTGTTTAATTGCATTATGGGCGTACACAAGTTTTGTCTTTTTACAGAAATCATTTTGATTATTGTGAAATTTTAGGGTCATTGGACGTTGGATTCTTCAATCAAGGTTATTGGAAGAATCGAAGCTATTACATTTTCATATGCTGGATATAGAAGGGAAATATTAAATTAATATAATTGAATATAATTCATAAATAAAGTATTCTACTTCTTCCAAAATCAAGAGAGAAAAAGAGTGTTTTTCTAATAAGTCTGAAATATTAACAAGATGACAAAAATAAAACTGTAATTAGTATGTTTTGATTCAATTTATAATGTCAATAAAAAGTAAGGGGTTTGGTATTTGTACCTAAAATTTTAATATTTTCTTCATCGAAGTCTTGAAGTCACACAGAAACTAGCACTGAATTTCACAAGAAGTGTTTGATCGAGTGAGTATTATTTATTTAATTACTATTAGAAATGGAAATACTACTTAAAGAACACTTTTACTTGGACCTGTCAAATAATAACAAAGTCAATATTTTTAAATTGACATGCATGTATTTTTCATTCTCTATGCTAACAATAATTATTATTATGTATTATTTGAATTATTGAAGTGAGAGCTTTAATTTAAGCCTCTCATTGACTAGGCACCTTATTTTTTATTCAAAATTAAAATGTAACGGTACATTTTACTGACATCACAGCTTTTATGTATTTAATTTTTGCCCTTATCAAGAGTAAAATTTATCAACTTTTGAAAACAAAACCTAGCATTAAACCTCTCAATAGTATCTTAATAAAAAAAAAAAATATTTTCAGTAATTTATCAGTCAGTGTACACACCGTGTCAACCACTTTGTGTAGGTAGGGCGAGGATATTTTGTAACTTCTAGTAATATACTGGTACATGAAACAGTAAAAAGGTATTCACAAACTAGTTTTAAAAAGTTTTTTTTATGTTTTCACAATTTTTCATGACAATACTACTTTTTCACTTGAGACTTGCAATATGTATACATTTTTGCAAGTTAATGTTTTTACATTGATATTACCACAGAATAAACAGTAGACACTTTATATTACTGCACTTTATGTTTACTCTTTATTTTGTGCTATCACTGCACCAATTATAACTGTTTCACACTTTTCTTGGTCAAGTGGAGTTGAGCATAATCGTATTTTTAACTTATACTCCTAAAATATGATTGAGCCACTAATGTGTTGTACTTTTGATTCATTTTTTGACAATCCTACAGCTGTTTTATTTCTACAAAGTCAATAGCCGTTTCAAGTACTGTATCTTCTTGTATCTTTGAAGGACCAATTCCACTAACGTGCTTTCTATACCCATACAGATCCAACTGTCTTTCAATCACTAAAAGGCAAATCCAAGTGTTGCTTACAACCCTCAACCCTTTCACACCGTTGACAATGCGACCTCAAAGACGTTTAAGTCAACCTCCTCCACTCACAAGCCCCATTACCCTCTCAAGCACGCAGTTAGCGCGTGTAGTGACAACAACTGCCAATTACACGCATTTTGATATCATCCGCGGTCAATTACTGCCCAAAGAGCGCGCTAAGCGGCCCAGGACCACGCTTTTGGAGGGAGTCCTCGCCTTTTTGGAGGGAGAGATCAATAAACGCACGCCTGCTCGCAACAACGCCCCGATGATACGAGCACGCACGCTGCGACAGGTGAGTCTGTTTTGATTGTTTCTGATAAGATTATTTAATTTTCGGGTATGTTGAGGTGTCACGAGGTGAGAAATATGGGTAGGGGTTAAGAATATATGGATTATTTTGGGTAGAGTGTTATTATGGTGTAGGTATTAAGGTAGGTTTGTTTAGGTTGTTGAAATGCTTATTCACTGGTTTAACGTTGTTACTGTTCAGTAATACTGTAGTCATGTACAGAAAAACGTCAATATACTGTTAATATGTGGGCTGTAATACAACTGAACCATGTAGACTTTGATTTTGTGTGTAGTAAGGATTTGCTATCAAAAGCAATTCTAATATGTGTATTTTGCAGTGAGTGATTTTATTATACTATTATTGAAATGCAAATATTTCCGTCCAAGCATTGAAATCTCTATCGGTTTGAAATTTGAAAACTCCTATTTATTTATCGTTTTGGATCATGCAGTATTTTAAACTGATAAAATAGCTCTAAATTTCACAACATGCTTTTTACAGAAAAATGAAGTATAATATGCATTTAAATAAACCGAATATTCAAAAATAATGTAATATCCACAAATTACTCGTGACATGACACTCTATTAGTTTGGAGATCATTTGTAGTTTAGAAAAATCTTAAATATATTATTAAAAAATTACTCTAATTTATCATTTATGTACGAGACTTTGATGTAAAATCGTTGGATAGAACCCCATTGAAGCGGAGAGAAATTGTTTATCAGCCATTGAATCTGAGAGGCAGGTAGCCATTAACGATTCAATATGGCGTCACAATCCAAGAGGGGAGCTTCTTTTATCTTTCCCTTTTAAATTTTACTTCATGTTGTATCTTTTAAGGTAAAATAATTCAAGCAATGGTCAAATAAAATAGGAAATACATGCACGTTTAAGAAGTACAAACCTATTTTTTACAATTTAATTGTTTTATGGTATGACAATTTTTTCAAAATAATCATTGTACATTTTTTTGTTAAATTTTTTAAATCAATTACAGTACTTGAAAGTAGTTCAATTGGATTTGATGAGAAAATGTACACAATCATACGTAATAAAAAGGTCGTATACATTCAAAATTACATTGTGATATTGTAGTAGGAAAAATTTATCAAATATCTTTGTAATTAACGTTTTAACCTTCCAGGAACAAGCTACTGCGATTTAAAAAAAATTATATTTTCAAATGGTTGTTAAGTAATACAATTCTCAATGAAACCATTTACAATTTATTAAAACATCTCGATTACTGAGCTATTTTACTCTACCATTGTAGTACCATAGATGACAAACCATATTTCTAGAAACAACATTTATTATTTTATTTATGCCTCATTAAACACCCAGCTACAATAATATAGACATAGACACCACCTCATTTTATTTTATTGCCCAACTGCATAGCCACTTTACAGTGAAAGTACATTTTAATTTAACAAGGAATTTACTGGAGTAAATAAATCGTACTAATGATTTCCACGAAGTGAATAATTTATAATTGCTTAAATAATAATTCCTTTAACAAATCAGTGCAAAGAAGTTTTAACCTAACAGCCAGTGATAATATCTCACACCTCTATTAAGTAGGACGAAAAGCAAACTACACGTATGGTATCACACTACAGTACATAAACCCTAACACCTTAGCCGTGAAGAAGCCTTGAAAATGCTTGCATGTGAGCGTGTGTGCGTGTATGCTTGTGTGCGTAAGGCCAAAGGTGTTCAACCATGACAGAAACACATGTCCGAAGCCCCAAAGCCACCCTAGAGAGGAAGGGGGGTTAAATACTCGCCCATTGTTCCCTCATAATTACTCCAAATCCGAAATCCAGTGTCTGACAAGTGCATGTATTAAACTCCACCCCCATAGCCCTGGGACAGAGGGGACATAAGAATGTTAATGTTTGCATTCGTTGTCTACAAGAGGGTGTGTGATGAGTCGAAATCGCTTTTAAAGGGGTTTTACTTTGTGTTAAAATGGTTTGTTTTCCCTATGTTGTGCGTGTTTTGAAGGTATTTAAACTGTTTTTGCAAAGGGTTGTTTTCACTTTTAGTTGGGTGTGTTTTGTGACTGTGATTAGTTTTTGAGTAGACGGATGACGATGGACTTCGATAATGACCGTAGGATGGTCGAAATTCACTTTTATTGTAAACTTTGTAATATATTGTAGTATTTCAAATTATGATATACTTAATTACTAAGTCTACTTAGTAATTAAGTATATCATAATTTGAAATACTCCATCGTCAAGAAAAGTCATCCGTCATCTACATGGATCGACAATTGTTGGAAGTATATTTTACTCACTCAACTTATTTTATAATCTACCATCATAGTACGGAAAGCTATGAGATTAAAATATAACTATAATATACTCTATAAGTGGCTCATTTACTTTCTTATAGTGTGAAACAGTGATTTAGCTAGCTCATTAAGATATTTAATCTAGTATACAGAATCTATGGTCATACAGTATCTAGCCTATTGTGATAGAAACGCAATATTAGTCTAAAACTTGGCTTTCACCAGATACGTTGAGGTCTAAAATATTGAAAAAGTGTCAACAGCAATATCACTTACCGTTGCCACCCGGGCAAGGTCACATGAAAGCTAGATATTCAATATTCTGTACCAGCTGGCGATGCTTCCCACCTGTCTTAGAATTCTGCATATTGCTTACAGGGTAGTATTAAAATTGTTCATTTATACCAAAAAGTAGGAATACATTAAGTGTTCACGTTTCTTCACATGTTTTAAAGTAATACAGTTTGTGATCCGGTAAATTATATACAATTTAGCTCAAACCGGAACGTATTACATGTGCTTAATACTTGCTAATACACCAACCCACAGTCATGTCTATACAGATAGGCTAGGACGTGTCACCCAATTACATAATACTAAGGCTTTTGCTATCAGTAAGTTAAACCGAATCGTAGTGATCCCAACTATATTTCAGTAAGTTAGTTGTATATCAGTAAGCTGGATTGCATTTCAGCAAGTTAAACCAAATTTCAGTAGGATTTATATGCATTCATTTCTTCTAGTGATTGGAACACCGAATACTTATAAAGGGTATATGTAAAAATATCACCACACACTTTTGACTTGAGGCTACATGATAATGACCTAGAGGTGCAAAGACATGTAACGCCGTAGTTCAACCTACCTGAAAAAACTTAATGAAAGATGACTTAGACGAAAATACCTGTAATTGAAACACCACCCACAAAATATTTTTGGAAATTTATATTTTAACACCTTTAATAACAATTTGCACTTTTCAGATATGAGCGGCATGGATCTGTTGCCGTTTTTGAACGTCACATGTACGGAATGTCAAGACCTGGGACCTCCTCCAAACTCAATTTTGGCCATCCCCCCACCACCACTTCCAGGGTTCCTCCTACGACCCCCTACCCCTGACAATCACACCCCCTCATGTGGCGCCCTCTGTGACTGGAACCCTGGACATGCAGAGTTTGTCGAACTGTTAGTCCCAGGTAAGAGGAACATGCATGGGATTTAGTAAATATTAGTTTTATGGATTTATGAAATGCTTAAGTAGTTTTGGGTTACATAACTTTGACGCATGCTCGTTAGTTAGTTGGTAATAACTTAGTTTTACGAAATGAGCTAACAAAGTCAAGTACTCGAATGGACAGTTCTTCAATTAGTATGTTTCACTGGAAGTACTAATGGAATGTATTCTTTTGAACGAATAAATGAATTTTTCAATGCTCTTCAATCCAATTTTGGAGTTTGTGCGATGCTCTACTATGAGAATGCTGGAAATTATATTTATCCCTTTCATCGTTGATACGATCGTTATGCCCTCGGTAGAAATATGATTGATTCCTGTAACTTATTTATTGTGTTCAGTAAAGATTGACATACATTCTAATGTTTAAATAAGTCTGTCGATGTCTCTAAAAAGTAATGTTGAAATGGTGGTTCTACTGTAAAGATCTCTAAGAAAGCAGGCAGTTTACTTTTCTACCAATAAGTAACTTGATCAGCTATTTTTTACAAAATAATTTTGGTTCCCTGTGATTAGCCTCATAATGAATTGAGAAAACGTTTAACTGGTCTTAATCATGATCCATTTATATTCTTACAAAAAAAAAGATAAACAGTTTTACACTATCCAACACAACTATGTTAAAAAATCTAGATTTATTAATAGTATTTGTACCGACAAAGCAACCTATCCAAGAGCTACCTTGCTAGTAACTGTCATTCTTGCATGTAATCTTGTCTTGTCTTAACTTGGTTTTAGAAATGTAGGCTATGCTTTAGACTCTAGCTGCATTTACTGTCCAAGAACTCCCTTCCGTCTTTACAATCTGTCTACTCTTCTGATTCTCACACCCCCACACTCTGTACATACACTACCGTCGCACCTGGCGCGGTAAGGTCCGCGTAGGATCTCCTGAGACTTTTTGTTGTTTCTAGAAGCTGCTGACTCCTCGGAGACCCATGAACCGCCCTCTGGCACCCAGCTTGGTGAGTCAGCATGCATAGAGGTGGGTTAGACTTGAGATTGTGACATAGTTGCAGTTTTGTTTCACTTTCATGATCAGCTGACTGCAACTATATCTAACCCACCTTTTTACTCAATACATCTTCTCGGTGAGTAAATGTGTGGCTGTCGGTGTAGTGCTGGACAAACTGGGAAGACAGACAATGTTAAAGCAAATAAAGAAATATTTATCATAATTTATTTCATTGATCCTGAAGAAGGCAGGCATCATAACTATATGGACTAGCTCTGAGGTCATTAAAAAGTAAATAAAGCCGTAGTTTAAGGAGCCTCTAGCAGAGTAACACTTTTAACTCCGTAACCTTTTATGCTACAAACAAACATCGCCTCAATATAAAATATTGTTTATTATTTAAGCTATAGATGATAGCGGTAATAAGAATTGGACATTTCCATATTTTAACTGTATAAAGTTTAAAAATCAATTTTTTTAAATTTGTAAAACCTCTTAGCACCTCACTTCTATCACCTGATCTTGTTGGTTAGCGAACTAAAAAAATCATTTATCCAGCTGTACACATATAACTATTTATCAAAATGGGACCAAAATTACTCAAATGTTCATGTTTACGGACACATATTTAGACAGATATAAAACATACAACATTAACGAATAGTGATTTCGTCTTTGCGGACATCAAAATGGAAAAGTCAATCGGTCCAGGGCCTATGGTAGTAGCTTCTTCCCTGGATGGAAATTTTCTAAAACACACTAAATTTTACAATAAGCTGTATTTTCAATTTTATTGGTTGTAAACTTGGTGTATTCGTGTCAAACTTGTTATTGATATTAGTGCACTATTTCAGAAACTGTCAGATATCATTAGTCAAAATTTTCAATATACAAAGAAGTAGACTTCTTATTTCTATATTAAACTTATACACAGATGTATAATAGTAGTTGAAACAAAGTTAAATTGAATCATCGATAAAGCGTTCTGATGTCAATTCTGTTGTTTCTCTAAAGTGTCACTCAGTTCAAATTAAAAATAATCCTGACTTACACCACAGGATCATTTTTGTCACTAAAGTATCGAGGACTAAGAAAGAAAATAGGATTCTTTCATTACCATTGAAATAAACGAAATTAACATTGCTCTTATGGAAAATCCAAGATAGCCGTTAGCTTCCATGAACTTTCTTGGAAAACAATTCAATACTACATAGAAAATTTATCTTATAGTGTACTAGATATTTAAATTATAATTATTTTGGCGTTCGAACAAATATTTGTCGATGATAAATACCTCTTCAGCAGCTGTTTGAAATCATCCCAGATGGCCGCTATTCTCCCAGGACTTTTAATGAACAGGAGCATGTATTGATAAATGATTCATCACATTATTAATTAAGATCGCTGAGTTCAATTGTTGAGATAGTGATAATTGACCCTAAAACCAAATATTTTAAATGTTAGATTAAGTAATGAAGCCGCATTGGACCATTATTGTTAGATAAATTAAAAATATAAATTGTCAGTCCCAGTTTGTTCTAGCAAGACTCGAGGCTGCAGCTTTGAAAAAAGTGTCTCTTCAAACTGCAAGGTACTTCTAATAGTTGTTCGATGTTTTGGAAAACCTAGTCCACATTTTAAATAAATACAATCTAAGCCATACAATACGATTTCGTGCTAACTAATTTAAATTTGTACTGAAAAACGTAAAAAAACATTACAATTTACCAAATTGGTGAGATGAATTGGACCATATAACTTGTATCTTAGATCAAACAAGAGAAAAATAAAACAGATAAGTAAAACCATACCCTGCGACTAAATTTAAATTGAAGAAACCCACCTATCAATTGTATAATATACAGGTACATTTAATTATATGTCATTAGTTTAATTAAACCTCAATATGAACTTTGAAAGTCACTAAATATAATTTTATAAATACATGATATTTCAATACAAATATTATTTTAAGATTTTTTGTTTTTTTTTTTTTGTTCTTATTTCCTTCCGTCTATTGGTTTCACCATTTAGCAGTAAAGCATGCCTTTTTGTTGTGTAGTTTAGTTACTTAGTGTGTTCAAATATACTTAACTTCTTTATTTTTGGACATAATTTTTGTGTTATTACAATACAAGTCTTAAATTCAACTGCAAAAAAAATATACATATATATATTTATATATGTATATATTATATAGATATAAAAAAAATATATGTAGTTTGGAAATAAACAATCAAATTCTAAAATTGTAAGTAGTTACAAACTGTGATTTCTGTTTTCGGAAGTTTATTTTTACAATTTATTTTTAGTTTTATGCACTGACTTTAAAATGTATGAGTAGCTAGTTTTGCTCGCCTATTAGTCATAGTTTACAACAGCTGACGATGTCTACCAGTTCGATCCCGAGAAATGTCAGTAGTGTCGATATTTCAAAACGAGACCAAGCTGTCCTATTTTATATATCGAATGACAAAAAGATGAACTATGCAAAGAAACAAATGCCATAAGTCAGTGAAAAAATGTTATCAGATACGTAATTTACTCCATGCCAGACTCAAGATCAATTCATGTTCAGATTAAATTGTAAACGAAAAGGACTTTCCTGCCTAGGCGAAGTGATAATACAAACAATTCTATATCTTTCCATGAGAAATATTTATGCTAGCCAAAAAAAGAATATAAGTATAAAATACATTATATCTTAACAAATGTTAAGTTTAATGAACATTTAAAAGATAATATAAACTTATATGCGAGTGTTATTTAATAGCTACAAAGAACAATAGGGTGTAAACAAGTTTAATGAAGAACATCAAAGGCTATAATTTCTTGGGTGGGATAGACTATCTAAATTGGAGCACACTAAACGTGTTTTTGTACTAGATTGCATTATATTTAACCTACTTTACAGTGACTAAAAATGAACTTTTCTTATCTTTATTATTTTTCTCCTTTATATCTAGTTGTTTTTAGTTAAAACACCAATATTATAGGGAAATATCAACATTAGCCCTTGTTTCTGTACTTTATTTTATGTTTTATCTGCTTTGTGACTTAGTTTAGAAACTCAATTTCAAATACCTTGACCTTGATCATGCCTGAACTCCTGAACTGCTGCTAAAAGTTCTTTGTTTCATACTTAAAGAAACGCCCAAGCTTCAACAATGGTCCACACCAACACCAACAACAACATTCGCAACAGCAAATAACTCCAACAACAATGACGAGACTAATAAAATTACCAAAACTATCTTCTTTTCTTTCACCAACGCATCGAATTCTACCACTCAATACCATTGTCAGGGCAGGCATCACTATATCAATTATCTTAGCCAATGTGTTTTGATTAGAACATAGTTGAACTAACCACTTAGAGACTTATTTTTGGAATAGTACAAGCATAATTGGATTTTCTCTTAATATATGCCATCAAAATAATCAATAGCCTCTGTAAAAGTTGCAGTAGGCCTAGTTTACAAAAACAATACTAACATACCTTGCAGTTTAGCCTGATTTACATGTTGGTATATTCAACACATAATACACCATATACAAAATACATTATACAACATAAACTACTACATAGTCGACAGTGGCCCAATTTGATGAATAACTTTTTATTATAAAACTGGTTGTATCTTGGGAACATGATTGTTGCAAATGGACTGTGTATAGATGATTTTTATATTAATTAATTCATCGGATGTTTTTGTTTACATTTGCAATTAGTGTTTTCTTTTTGATTGATTGTTATACTTGGTCTTGAATAGTTATGTCTGATTAAAATTGAAGTTCTTTTTGTACTATGTTTTTTTTGAGTTTATTTTAAAAGTATATCCCTTTTAGAAGAGTCGATCTCGCGTTTTAACAATGGGAATGAACAACCATTGGTTCCCAATGTGTATGTCCCATGTTTACCTCGTTCCATGTGTTGTTGAAGGTAAAACACAGCTTCTCTTTAGTATAATAATTATCTCTTAGCTACAGAACCATAATCATAGAGAAGGTATTTGGGACCCAGTGTTCAATCCTACGTCACCTGATTCAAACCAAAACAATTTGTTTCATCATAGAAGTAGTTGCTTTATAATTAAGATATTAGTTTTAAAAAATCTTACTACACCTAACACTCACCTGTCTTTTTTATATTGCGTTGTAAGACTATAGCATATAAACTGAAAATATTTTACAAACATATCTGGTCTGAAAAGAATGATCTCCTAAAGAACCACTACTTTGCCTTTACATACAAACATATCCTTGGTTGGTTCCATTTTAGATTGCAAAACAACTACAAGTACACAATTGGTTTAATACAGAGAATATTCAAATATCCCTCATAATTTTGTTTGTTTTGCTAAATGGTATTTTCTTTGTGTCATCTTTCAAATATGAAAATTCTGCTCGTTTAATCTTGTTGTTTTTTTTATATATCTTATTTGCCTCAGTTTCCTTATTATTTACTAACATATTTTTACATAATTATTGTGTAATGGTTGATATGACTATTACTGACTGATAATTTCATTAAACATATCATAGAATCGAGGGATAGTTTTTTTTTCAGTCAAGAAGTTATCCATACTCTTGTTATTCACCGAAGAAAAGTGGCAGTTTTCAATCATTGCTTTGCGGGACGAGAATCGTGCTTCACCTAAGGAACCACATTTTGACCGAAGAAAAGAGTCCCGTTTCATAGATATTGTTATTAAATATCTTTGTTTTATCACCATGTCACATTAAACATTTCTCCACAAGATATGCCTCTCAATCGAAATTTAGACTGGTTTATATGTAAATAAATTTCAGTAGAGTTTGAATATTTTTATTCCGTTAGGGGAGTAATAATTTTGCGTCTACGTAACGGTAACTAACAGTTTGTATATTGTAGACAACAATTTTTTGAACTAATTTAAAAAGGTAAACAACGTACAAAATTTACACTGTGTAAGTTAGTTAGCAGATGAATCAGTATGACGAAAAATAAAGTTCATCAAATGGACTGATGTATCTTTGACCCTAGCTCGTTTCTAACCTTAGCGACGTCCCGATTGACAATAACACAAACTTTGGGTCCTGTTGAATATTTTTACATTATATTTTACCGTTTTTCAACATTTCACTAAAAAAGTGTCAGCCATTCTACTATATCTCGAAGACGTATTTTATATCATGTGTTTAATAGCACATGAAAATGCTAATTAACAGGTTATTCTATGACATTACTGCATACTATAGCGAATAGCGATGGGTCTGATGGCCGTGGTCACTATGAAATCGATTGTGGCTGTAACATAATGTATTTATGTATTTCGCAACTTTTCCCCTTCATGACATCTTTGATATAAAATTGTGTTTATTTGACCTGCTCTCCACTACGTTTCTTACATTCTCCGTGTTCCCTTGTTCCAGGAGCCCCCACAGACGACACATGGTTCCTGGTCCTGGTGACGTCATGTGTAGGAGTCCTGGTGCTCAGCTTTCTCCTAACTTTGTTCCTTCTGAGGCTTAAACAGTGAGTAAATCCTAATTTATACTTATAATAGAAGTACTCATAGTAAGTACTCAAAAGAATGTCAATAATATATTCAAAAGGGAAAGACGTATTTTTTAGTAACATTGTGATATTGGTCACTCTTTTTACCAGTAAGACAAAAAAGGTGGATTCAATTGGGCTATAGTTATTTGTGCAACTAGTGAGAAAAGTGAGTAATTGACTCACTCGAGAGAAATCCTTACTCACGAGCCGTAGGCGAGTGAGGAATGGTTTCTCGAGTGAGGCAATTGTACTTTGAACTCGAGTTGCACATTATACTTTTCCTACAGTTACCATAAAACAAATAAATTGGTGAAGGAACATAACCTATTTTTACACAGAAGTGAACTTTTAATTTAACATTTAATGTGAAGTGACAAATACAACAGTACAACAGCTGACCAGCTGATTTACAGCCAGTGCTGCCAACGTATTTCCTGCGCATACGACCTTGTCTGCATGTTACGCGCTCACTATTTCGTGCCTTCACGTTGCAAATCTGGAGTGAGACAAAGTAATTAGAGTGAGACAAAGTAATTAGAGTGAGACAATGTTAACATTGTCTCACCGATGAGCGAATTGGCCACTTTGCTTTCTCAAATCAGCGAGAGAACATATACATTGTTAGGCAACTGTAGGAAAAAGTATTATTATGATTGAGATTTTTTACAATACTACTTACAATAAAAGATAAATTTATGCCACCCATCTTACCTTTCCTCGTTTTACTTTCATCGCCAGACTGTAGGTATAAGTATAAAATTAGGTTAAATCTCTATGATACATCTATCGCTTCATATCATGCTCCACTTTAAAGGGTTCGTCCAGCTCACTGAAGATCCTAATGCTATTATAAAATAAAATTACTTTCAAAGAAAGTTGTAGCTGAATATTGATACGTATTCTGAGTTCCCCTCTGCTTGACCTCTACCTTTAAATTAATAGCTCAACAGCTGATAAAGCAACATACATTAAATACCAAAAAGTTGTGGGGGGACCAGACCTCAAACCACCTGAATATTGTGAACGAAATATATACTCTACTCTAAATATTAATAATCTATAACGAATCAACAGTTTGGTGAGTATATTTTCTTTCGTTGATAGTGTTTCATTCGCTGGATTTCCAATACGTTTCATTATGTGCTCGTAATCAAACTAAATATTGCTTTGCTTTTTATTGTAAAATCTAACAGGCCTTAAACAATTATGTATCCTTATGATAAGAAATCAAACGGGAGACGATTAAGTCGCATTCTTAGAACGAGTTTATAACTTTTTAAGATTCATCTTTTTCTTCGTGATGTTCCAGTTCAGTAAGCTTATACTCGTCAGGGGGGGCACCCACTAGAAGACGAACAAAATTCATAAACATAAGCATATGTATGCACATCAACTTAAAAGCTTAAATTCCGCAAATTTGAGCTCAAAAGAACAACTGAGTAAAAAATTGTAGCTGTTCAAAGATTTAAAATAGCAGATATATTGAATCTTTAAACGGCTTCCATTATTGACTCCGTTGTCAATTTTTAGTCCAGTTTGCGGCAGTGTTTTTAGATCAACAATACCTTAAATTTGATGTACATATAAAATGCTTACCTGCTTATGCTGCTAAACTTACCTTTAAGATTTTCAACTTACTCCTATGGGCCCCATAGGTGACATCAGATCATAAAGTACAAAAAAAGTAGCTTACTATTACCAGTAATGACATGCGAAATTTAGATGTGATATCTCTTGTAGTTTTAAAGTCAGTTACAAGGTCGTCCTAAGACTTAATTTTCACCCTGTATGTACTGTATATTCTATACCACCTTGTAACCGCACTATAGTTATTTCAGAGACCGCAGCAGCAAAGTGTCCCTCTCACTAGACCCCGGTGTGAAGAGCTGTGAGGCCGTGTTGTACCCTGGAAGTGTCGGTGACTCCAGAGTTCTATGGACTACTCTGACTCCCCGGGGACCCGCCACCACCCTCGCTCCCACCCAAGGAACAACCACTCCCTCCAGGAGCTTCGACAACTCCGGCTACATCGACCCCGACGACTACCTCAGGCTACGGCCCAGAGTGTCGTCCCCCACTAGGATAGAACATCCGAACCTTCCACCTCTTAACCTCCACCGGGCCCTGCGTCGAGAGTCCTCGGACACCGCCCCCATCGTGTAATAGTTCCTGGAGTTCCCTGTTGTCGAAGGGAAATAGTATTTAGGGTAAAGGACACGATTTGTTAAAGAAAGGTACTGCGAGGAGTTTTTTTTTTTTCAAATAAGAAACTAGTTTTTTTATTTCCTTTTAATCCCTGGTCGCCAACAATTGTCTAGTAGGCCATTGTTAGTAGTACTCACCTTCAAATCTGAAGGTCGCTGGGTCGATTTCAAGTTACAGATCGATTCCGAACACACATGCCTTTATCTTTGGGCTATAGTGTATGATCAAAAAAGGCTAGACAATAACATTGCCAAAAGCATTAGCAAATAAGTCAACTTGGTTAACTTATAAGGATTATGTTTTTGAACGATTGTTCGTACGAATTTATTAATCGTTTTCTTTGGGAGTTCTATTGAGTTGTTGTATGTTGATTTGTTAAACTAACGTAAAATGTTTTGCAAAACATTAAAAATTAATAATTATCTAAAACATAAATTAAAGCTAAACTAGTTAACCGTTCTTAAAATGTCACCTTAATCAAAAACAGTTCCATGGCACATAGTTGTAGTTGAGAATGATTAAGTCAGATTCAGACTACGAAGTGTAAGAAAAGTTTAAGCTAAAACAATCAAAGAAAATTGCTATGTATATGCTGGAAGCTTAGAAAAGAAAATTGCTTCAGAATCGCAAAACAACGCGTTCAGCTCAGATACAAGTATGTGTAATACAGTTAGGCAAAAGATAAATGCTCAATATTAAACTGAAGATTAAGTTTAAATATATGGAAAATATCATCGATTAGGAAAATATTAGGAAAAGTTTAGATGCTCGTTTAACATCTTGCAGGGATTAACTTCTTGCAGTGACAGAGTTATTTTCAGCAATACTTTATACAAAATTAAGTTATCGATGCTTTCGCTACATATTTTCTATAATATGTAGCCTACATTTTTTGGATAGAAATGAGAATGTTTAACGAAGGATGGCTGGTGCTTGATTCATACTCGCTTGTTGTGAATTGTGTATATTTTTATGATCAATATTGTACCTAGATGTATGTACCTACAAAATCTAGTCATTGTAAACTCAAAATGTAGTTCTTTTTCAATAAACTTCATTGAAAAATTAAATTTCTGATTGGCTTTCCCTTGCTTTTATGAGTAATAAAGATAACACAATGTCCTATTTTACAACCAAAGATAATTGAAAAGGTATAAGCTTTGACTATTGGAAGTTAGTCGAAGTTTCACTAACAGTAAGTTACTAACATCATAACTTATCTTTACTTTAATTAAATAAAATTGTTTAAGTTTTACTATGCCAAAACAAGGCTGTAATTAAAGGAAAAGAAGCTTTTTATATCAGTTTTAAACAAAAGAAGTTTGTTTGTAAGTTCATAAACCTATTAATTAGAAGGGCCATAAACGATGTAAACTACAATATAATACATAGGCTATAAATAAAAATAGATCCCTTTTCAAATTCCATTACGTTTTAAGAGTTAAGGTTCGGATTGCATCATAAATAAATGATTAAACGTAGTGAGGATAATATTCCGCAAAAATATACCAATAAAATCTTCATATTCTTTGTTGTTATTATGATTTTGAACATAAAATGGAATCACAAAAGAATAACAATATAGCGCTGTTCACTGAAACACATTGTAACAAATAACAACTTATTCTAGAGCAAAATATTGCTACTATATCTTTGTGGACAGCTGCCAGCAGTAAATATATTTCATTTGAGTGTAATGTATTTATTTGATAAAGTGCTGCATGAGAATCTTATTATAATTTGGAAACATATTTCGGTTAATTTAAATAGTATATGTGGTATTGTGGTTTATCGTTCATGTACAGTACTAAATACATTACATGTACGATATATTTAATTTAATATGCGTCTATTAAAACCAATGACTGTAAATCCTTAGTAACGATTTACAGTCAACGATTGAGACTGCGTAAAAAAACTATTGAACTCAAAACATATCAACAATTACAATTAATTGTTGATATGTTTTGAGCTCGGTAGTTGTCAATTAGTGATTTAAAATAATAATTTTATCCGTACAATTCTTTGGCTAGCGTATTAAAAGTCTTAACTTAATTCTGTCTTTTAATCTCTGTGTTTGTGTGCACGTCTGTTAGTAACGCGTTAGTGCCCTTAATTCTCAGCCTTTCACGGAAAAGACTAGAGCATCATTTTTAATGGAAACTTCTATAAAATGCGCATTAGTGAGGAAGTATATAACTACTTTTAAGCAGCGTGGTAGTTAAATTTTACATCAAGGCTATGTCTCAAAGATCTGTTGAGCCTCTGTTTTAGTTAAATAATCGGATATCAAATATAGACTAAAATATATCCAAGTGATATCCATAGATTTGACATAACTTTTTTTGTCTTATAACCACCTATTAGATACCAGTATTATGTTTGATACGGTTGTGTATATTAGTTTGCCTGCACATCCATAATGCAAATTTGATGTACAAAAAATGTTGTCCTGAATTTAATTAGGTTGCAACTGGCTACAAGATCCCCGTACGTAGAACAGACACACTGCTAGTCTATGTCTATACTATTATTTTTTACACATCTAATGGTGTCTGCCATTACACACATTAATGGTGTCTGGTAATTGCACATGTAATGCCGTCTGCGCTACAATTTTACAAAAATATAGCTACTCGACCAAGGATCCGTTTAGGACTATTCACGTCCCTATACTGACCGAGGACTTTGCTTGGCTTTTAAAGTTTTGAATCGAGATCTTTAAAAGCAAATATTGATTTGTCCCCATGGCTGCAATGAGAACACTGACAATGTTTACATTTGTCCATGACATTTCAATGAAAACAAGCAGAACTATCAAATTAAATTCAAATCACAATTCCTCACATCTGGTGTAAAGTTTAAATAGAGATATGATATTCTGTAGAACCATGTTGCAGGTTTATTTATTCTTATATTTTAATATTTCATTGATTATTGATTATAGGAGAGGAGTAAGATTTTATAGCAGTTGTTTCATAGCTTCCTACCCTAAATATGCATTTTGATTATAGCTAATGTAAATGATTTTATTTGAAGATTTTTGTAGACAAAATAATAAAATTATATTTATTTTATAAGTATTCTTTTAATTATTTTGATATATTTTTGTTAAAAATTTGAATTATACCTAACATTTTTTTGGATCAGGGCACACACCTAAACAAAAAAAGCGTTTTTCAAAACAAAGAGATAATTGCATATTTTTGCAAATTTAAGCGATGATCAGACCATTAGCTTTTTTATAAATGTTTAAATAATAGTTTTAGATCTCAACCCCTAATCATGAAGCTTTCTAATCCAGAGTTAGTAGCTACCAATCTCTATCATTAACTTTAGATACTCCATAAAGGTTTCACATTATATTCTAATAATGAATAAAATGTTATGAGCATATACGGTCTTTACTTGTACGGTTATTTTCAATGAGCTTCCTCTTAACCTTGCTGTTGGCATAAACGTTGTTTACATTTCGTAAAATTTAGTAGCTTTAAGCTGATACAAAATATTTTAATAAAAACACATTTTTAAAATAATACCATGTTGGCGCCTTTGGTATCTATAAATATTAGGCTTGTTTAATGTGTAACTGTTTTTCATAACCCCCGGACGAAAGACTGGTACTTTGTAGTATATTTTAAGTATCTAACTATACCGAAGACGATTTAACTATTATTCTGTAATGAAGTAAAATTCCTTACACATACAACCATATAATGATAGTATAATATGATGAACTTAATGCATTAATCTATATTTGGTCTAAAAAGCTAAATGACAAAACAATTTATACTGACAATAACTTTTTACTCCCGAGTAATCAAACTAGGAGTATGTATTAGTCAAATTTAATATTGATAGCAAGAAATATTAAGATGCTTAGCTTAGATTGTATACACACTATATGATACTAGTCACTAAATTCCTATACAGTGAAAGACCGGTTGAGCGTAACGCAAAATGCGTACCAAAGTACGGCATAAGTCTCACAAGATAACTATTTGGAGTTTTTCTGTTTGGATATCAAGTTAATATAAGTAAAGAAATAGTTTATTTAAGTGTCACAAAACAATCTGTGTTTAAGATTGTAGGCCCCCTAATTCCTGGTTTTATAATTCAAATGATATTCCTAAATAAGTTGGACTGTTATGATACAAGAAACTGGGTAGACTTTCCATAACAGTATAATTGTCAGTATGATTCTACTGCGATTTCAAATTTGTAAATTTAAGCAGTATTCGAAGCCCATCACAAAGTTCATGTTGAGTAGAGGAAGCAGGATTTTACTTTCATAAAAAAGTTTAGTAAAAAGTAAGAACGTATAAATATTTACTATAGCTTGCATACAAAACATAGTCATATTTTTCAGTGATTATTATAAAAACTGACTTAATGAGAGCTTTTAAAAATTAAAATAACAAATGTAAACATTTTCCTTCAGACCCTTTTTAGACCAGTTAAATTAAACTAATTGGGTGAAATAATTCCCGGAGAGTTGGAATTTTTTTTAAACGTTCCTTTTGTTCATTAGATTGAAGAAAATAAAAAGTCCTGATGGGTGGGGGGTCGAGCTTGACTAAGGGAAGGGCTCTGAATATAATTTTTTTTAGTGTTTTGCTTACATATTGGAATCTGTAAGTCATATTGAAAAGTGTTAAATACAAAAGTTGCAGCTGACAAAATTCCCTACAAAAATGACTGTATGCATTTTTTTGTAGGACTTAACCATTTAAAGCTGGAGGTTAAAAAAATAACAGTAAATTAAAATGGTGTTTTATTTGCGTGGAAGATGAAACAGGCTCGAAAAGACAAAGTCTTATCATTGGCCTCAATGAGCAGCACTAGCAAAATTAATAGATAACGTGGTGCAATTTCAACGAGTTGCAATTTGAAAGAAAAACGACAAGGATCTAGAGGTACCTTCTGTGCTACGAGCTGCGCCTTTCCCCTTATAGCTCTGTTTGATGAATTGATAATTGATAATTAATTGATAATTGATGAAAGATATATGAGAAAGACATAAGTCTTCTTTATATGATTTTTCCATGTTCATTAGTTAACTCCAGACCTTAAGCTCTAAATTTATGTTATTGATGGTGGCTTTTTGTTACATTACGTTAAGTGGATCGTAGTCCTAACTTTCTTAAGTTGTAATCAGGGCACTTTCCTGTTAAAGGGAACATTCATTATTATCGATGATTTTTTTCTCGATATATCGATATTAACAAATTGAAACATATCAGCTGACAATTACGATAAATATTGTTCAGTATCAACAAACAATAATGAAATGAAACTGTTCTAAAAAAATAACCTAACATAACTAACCAAACTTGCTGTGTAACATTCCATGTTTTTTATCTTGCCTTTTCTGTTATCAAAAGGAATTTTTAAATAGTACAGCAAGTTTGGTTGGTTATGTTAGGTTAGCTTAGAACAGTTTCAATTCTTAATCCATATAATAGACTATTTTATCCTAAATAAGATCAGTTGTCAATATGTAATGGATCGGCAAACAAAAATATCGATATATCGAAAAAATCATCGATAATAATGAATGTTCCCTTTAACAGGAAAGTACCGTAATCAACCAATATATGACGTACATAAAGAAACACTATGTACACTGCTTTCTCATAAAATGATCTCTTAGGGTATAGAAGTCAGACGTTCTGAGGATGATGCTGATACAACAATTGTGCGTTGTGCAGTGAAAAAAGCAGCATTCAGTGGTCATGTTGCTATCGTTTTTACTTACTTACTCTTACTCTTACTCCTTTAGAGGATATAAATTTGCTGGTCTTGCTGATTGCATTAGCTTCACTTGAGCAAGAAATTATCTTCTTCGAACCAGAAAAAATGTAGCCTAAAGTTAAAGTTATTCCTACGTTGGATTACAGAAATTTGACGATGAATTGAATGAAACTTTGCATTTGCCAGAAGCATATTCTTCATTCACGGGTTTAGTGGGTGTGATACCTTCTCGTCCTTTTACAGAAAAGGCAAGTCATTAATTTTGAAAATAGTCTCGATACCATCACCAACGTATTTTACCAACTTCGGCCCAAAAGGAAGTCTCGATAGCCGGCGAGTGGATGATCCTAGTGATGTTCAAATCCCGAGCAAAATATCTGGGCAGACACCGATACATCGCATTCATCAAATCCATCACTAGGCTGAAGGCAGACCTCCCGTCTCTGCCACCAATGGAAGGCTCTGCCCAGCAGAATTCGTATAGAATATATTTGCAAGTGCAAGAATGACTGGGAGATAAACTACCACTAACTGATTCGGGTTGGACAACGGGCACCGAAGGACAACTACAACCCCTTACTACCCTAGATCCTTATACTCCGGCCGCCATCCTCACAATAATCTTTTGCAAAAGGTTGTGGAACACTTTGTGGGTGCCGTAAAGCGAGGATCCACTGCTCAACAATGTGTGGAACTGTAAGGGAGCGTGCACCAAAGGCCCTCTGGTAGACGACGATTCCTTGAATGTGGATGATACTGAAGAAACCCTGAATATCATAGTTTAAACGATATGACCCATGTTTGTAATCATTAAAATTATGTTTAGTAATATTAACTTTAAGAACGGAAATGCAAATAAAACAACGATTTTATTATACTGTTATTTTCTTTAACCTTTAGCATTAAACGGTTAAGTCCTACGAAAAAATACATACAGTCATTTTTGTAGGGAATTTTATCAGCTACATCTTTTGTACTTAACACTTTTCAATATGACTTTCAGATTCCGATATATAAGCGAAAAACTACAAAAAAACATTCAGAGCCCTTCCCTTAGTCAAGCTCGACCCCCACCCATCAGGACTTTTTATTTTATTAAATCCAATGAACAAAAGGAACGTTTAAACAAACTCCCAACTCTCCGGGATTTTTTTCAGCCCAATGGCAATTTTTTGTTTTATTTGACTGGGCTATTTTAATATATCTAGCAGCTTAAAATATCCCAAAAATATAAGGAAATTAACAAAGACCTTTTTTAAGTAGTTAGAAAAAGATAACGTTTACAAAACAACTGAAAATAACTATTATTCCAGAGACTTTTCCAAACTAACTGTTATAATATGGTGCAAATCTTCAAACTAGAAATTACCAAGAATGTTCATTCCTGCAATTACCGACAAAAACTAGTGCCTTTCCAACTCTAACAGTGATAATAAGCTTACCTTGCTATTGTTGATATTCTTTGTCTCAAGAATAACAACTCCTATATAAAACTAGTCCCAACCCATGATTTATATTTTTTTAGCTTTTAACAAACACACAACATTTAGTAATAATTTCACTTTAATGCATTACTTAAGATGATGCAATAAATAGATTGACTATAATCATAACTTTTTATTATTTACCCATTCAAAACATTCGCCTTTGGCAGCCCAGGTATAAAATATTTATTACAATTGTACCACCATATTTTGGACTGATTAAAGTTTTCCTTTGATACACACCAACTTGGTTGTAATGTCATACTGAAAAGGAAACGTATTAAAACCTTGTGATGCTCCCATAAAATATAACAATGTGTATTAAAAACTGAAAGATATATTAAAACTAAATCGTAGCACACTAGATAATCAGGCTCGTTGATTATGCTCTCTTTGAAAAAAAAAACTTGCTGAACTTTGTGTGCTTTTCTGGATTTATAAAATCAATTGATAAATAGAGAATATAATACACAAAATAATTATCAAAACCAAATATTGATTTTGAGATAAGGAATTGGATTACAAAATAATCTTCTCTAAAGTTTTGTTCAAACATGATTCATATACTTAATTATTGTCAATTTTGTATATTTTAAATTTAACATATACTCTTTACCATTATTTTGAATGGTATATTTATTTTTCAAAACAGTTCTGCAGCCTCTGGATTACTGTACAGCAACAAAAGCTTACTTGCGCAGTTATTTAAACCATTTTAGGTACATTATTGTTACTGATATAACATTATCATCAGTAAATTTATTTCAGGCACTATAATTACGACTTAAGTCCTCAATGGTAAAATCTTTTTCCCAAATTTTTATCACCCTATTACCTTCAAACTTAACTATCCAAAATATTTAATCATTTCACATGTATTTTTCCTAAGGAAAATACAGATAGTTTCCTTGGTATTTACGGTACTTTAATTGGCCTTGTGCCTGCATGTACAGTCGAGTCACTTCGACAAGTCTTGTGGGACCTATAGTGGTGAACACCAGACTGTACCGACCGTTCGGTCACTGTCAACGACAAGTAAATATTTAAACCTCTATTGAACGCTGGCCGTCTATTTTACCGGCCATTTTGGTTTATTTCCTACTTCGTTGCTTAAACCACACTCCTCTTGAATATAATTTTAAAGTTTTTATTTCCTAAACTACTTACATTTCTAGGTTAAAGCTTGTAGAAATACTATGTTTATTGCATTTACTGTACTTTTGGACAAAATGAGATTTGGTTGTCGTGTAACAGTCATATATTGTATATTGGACGTCGTGAGACAGCTCTAGAATTATATTTTGGACGTCATGACACTGACTAATATCATTGGATGTCGCGACACTTGGACGTCGTGCAATACATCTTCAATTAAGTCAATGGTTACACTTTTCTAACTTTTATTAGTGAATAGCCTGGTTTTCATAATATGGAAAGAATTACTTCAAAAGGCTATAAGCTTGTGTATTACTTAGCTTCTCGAAGGAGTGTTTTAGACTTTATCCGAAGACAAGTTATCTCCAGAACATTGTAGAATAAAGGGTTTTACAAGTAAAATTATGTCATTTGAATTACTATAAAATTCATGAAGATTTTCAACAGAAATAAATCAAATCTGCAGTGTATTTTAATTGTGGGTCACTTAAGTAATGTTTATTAATTCTAGGGAAAATAAACATTTCAGTAATCCTTACCTTTACTATGCTTTAATAATAATCCTAGAAACACGCAAAGTGAAACAAAAGCTGTTGATTGCGGCTACGTGTGTGGTTAAATTTATTAAACTTAAATAGATGCAAGTATTATGGTCATTAATTCCAATTGCAAATCAAGTTTAAATATAATGATTACCACTAGTAGTTTGTTGTAAAGGCTTTAAACAAAAACATTGACAACATACAAAAGTATAACTCTACAGATTGATACAGTTCGGCTTCTCCTAAAACAATTACTCCTGTAAATAACTGTACTTATTACTTGAAGTGTTATTTTTACCGTAGAGGAAAATTATCAAAGCTATACAAAGGTCATACATTTTATTACTGTAATAATTTACGTGAATTTATGTTTTTCCCGAATCAGGGGAGAAAACATCCAATATTAATTGGTATAATCACCGTATACCATTAAATGAGGTATAGTAACGTCTTTGGTGCGGAAAAAAACGGATTTCCCATCTACAAACATTTGAGGTGTGTGGTTTATTTTCCAACAGTTTAAACTCTTTAAATAAATAAAAATGCCTGTAACACTGAAAAAATGGATATGTCAATAAGTGTCCTACAAATAAAATGATAATAATAATCACTAACATAATTGTGGTTAAAATCCCACTAAAATGTATCTCGGTTATTATAGTTAAACCAAAATTAACATTAAAACTATGCACTTTTTTTGAACGCCCTCCTATCCCTCCGGACACAGTTGTCCCTGTTCTGGGGGTCACGATCAGTAGAACTAAGGTCACGGGGGATGCGGTATGAATGAGTCTTGTTACCTCGTGTTTGAGGGGGGGTTAGGGGATGAATTTTGGGGTGGGGGAGGGGGTTGCAGCACATTGCACCAAACCTCCCTTAGTCGCATATCTCCGTCTCTCTCCAGTCGTCATGTGCCTAGTGCTACGCTACCATCTACACGCCACTGCGATTGCATGACTACTCAGTTATGTGAGTATATATTTCATGTTTTAATAATAGATTAATATATTTTAAGTATTTTTAAAAAATATTATAAGTTTTCTACAAAATATTTTTTTGCACAATTTTCTGAGTAGTTGACCTGGTATTTAAAATATTTAAATTATTAAAAATATAATTTAATTTTTTCTCCCATGTAATTTATCAATGTTACATTTTCAATTTTGTTTAGTGTGTTTGTCAACTTTTGTTTTTTTAGAAATGCCATATTAATATTTTTACCTGTAATTTCCCTTTGATAGCATAGGATAATTAACTCATTTTTTAGATATTTTTTTACAAATGAAGTAAATCTTGTACATAATTATGTACTAGCTAAATTACTATTATGGTTATCATTTCAAATGTTCTTAAGTAATGTGTATCTGGTAAATAAAAAAATATATTAATGTTTAAAACTGTATGATTAACATTTTAGGACTCATCAAACATTTATGTAATTGTATTTATTCCTACACAATATTTAGGATACCTAAAACATTAAATTTTGATACGCATTAAAATTGGCAACATGTTCGAAATTGTAACCTTGATTAGTAAAACATGATTAAACCGTTTGTAATTCTATTCTTTTTTGTAAGTCTTTGTTTGTACTGGTAGACTTTCTGACAAAAAAAATATATTTTAATAGATACAAATTTAGCAATACAGCAAAAGAAAAAAAACAGGGAAAGAAATATTTCTAAATTGATTAGCCTTAACTATTGCTTGATATTCTTTTTAATATGAATTAAAATAAAAAGGACGTAAATGTAAAATTAAAAATATAACTACCATCATCCACTCTAAAATTACATTTAAAATTTCTGAATTCGGAAACTTTTAATAGGTATGTTTGTTAATTTTTATTACTTTCGATTAATTAATTTTAAGCTATGAAAACACTTGTTCATCATGAAACCTTTTTAATTATATAATTATTACGGGGTAAATGTTGTGTGGAATAAGCATTGATATGGGTAAATGATTTTCTGGAAGCATAAAAACCATACAAACATCTTTTAGAAATATGTAGTCGTATTTATGTGTGTAAAAGATTTTTTTTTATTCCTAATACATTAAAATATACATCACCATATATTGAGCTTCAGTAACCTCCGTTCTATCAGGAAACAGCTGGTATTATTGAATATATTCAAATTTGTAGACTTCATAATCAAGTGTTTTTATCTTGTGTCCGGCTTTTCTTTTTACAGTACTGAAAAAAATTACGGGAAACATCAATAAGCCTATTTATTTTTTTTTTCAATTCAACAATAAAATTGATTGAAACCTTACGTATATCTTATCAATAAATGATTTTTCCTTATATCGTTAAATCACTAAATAATTTAGGTTATAGTAAAAAGAGATTTTTTAAGAACCCATTTGAACCTATTTATAAATTATAAATAAATAAAATATAAATGATTTTTAATGGGTCCTTAAGAAATCTTTTCTTATTAAAACCTAAATTATTTTGCGAGTTAACGATATAAGAAAAAATTGATTAATTGATTGATTGGTATAGGTAAAAATTGATAAGAGATACGTAAGGTTTATATCGATAATATATTATGGAATTGAAGAAAACAAAAAATATCATAACATTATTGGACTAATAATAAGATTATCCATTTATATACTTAACCTGGCAATGAATGCTTTGTCATAAAACATGTATCGTTTCCAAAAATGTAGAATATTTCTTAAATTATTGAAAATAATTTTAATGTAAAATCATAAATAAATAAAACACTCTGAATTCCAGAGCATCATTTAGGTACATTCAGGTAATTAAAATAAACATTGATCATATATAATATATTTATTATTTTTGACACTAACGACTAAAATATTGCACAGCTAACTGTTAAATTAAACAGTTATGGACTTATTTAATGGACTTGGGAGTTCACAATAAGGGAAAGCTGAACTCCTCAAATCTATAAATTCAATACGTTGTCAATATATGGATTTCTACTTCAAGACATTTATTGACAGCTAATATATATTACACTGTAATTTATTAAGCTTTCGCAAGGACTTGAGAATCTTTTGTGTCTAATCCACTCGATCGAACTTTTCTAATATAGTAGCAGAAGGTGACATCTTATGAAGTCAATATAGAAGTTACGAAAGTAAGTTATTTGGTAACACATATAATGCAATTTAAAGTTTAAATGTAAAGTTTTATAAAAATCTAAATATTTTTTTGCTGAACTATTAATGTATTACAATTATGTAGGCATGATGTGAAAGCAACTGATCATATTTTAAACCTAAAGTTAATAAAAAATATTAGCGGGATAATTGAGATGTTTTTTATAGCTTTGTCATTAAGACCGGGGTTTCCTTTATAAAATGCTATTTGATAAAACCACAATAACCAATGACTGCAGATCCCAACGTTGAACAGTCAAAATTTTATGTTTGTCAGATGAACCTGATAGTTTCCAGTTCCTAGAGTTTGATATCTTCTTTTAGGCATTTATAGTTAAATCCACACCTATTGTGAAATACATCGTTGGGTCAATGGGAAAACACATAAAAATTTAATGGAAAGTTTTTACCACTGTCATAAATTTATGAGTACACAGACAAATATAATGGAAAATTGTATGTATCCTCTGAAATGATTTTTTGGATGAGAAAGGTAATACGTTTACCACCATTTGGTTTGAATGATAAAATACGTTATCCTCACGTACGTGTCTAGCTAAATATTGAAGGGTTGGTTTTCAATTTTACCGTATGAATAAATAGGAGGCACGTTGTTAAATAGATTGATTGAATTCAAGCCTATAATAAGTAACTACTGTTCTACCAAAAACATCTCATGAATTTAAATCTGTGTTAGAGAAATAAATTCTTAAGCATTCAAAAGTTATTTTGTTAAAAGTGTATCATGATCCTGAAAATTGTGATTAATATACAGTTATTCTGGTGGAACAGTGAAGTAAAAATTAACAATTTTTGAAACCAGACTTGTCAACCGTTTTTTACCAAAACAACCTCAAGAGTTTAACTACGCTTAGTAAAACAATCGTAAAAAATATTGCAAGTTTAACTAACCAATTACGAAGCACTGCTTTAGTTTTCCCAAAGGCGTATATAGAGTCCTTTCCTTAACAGCAAACTGCAGAACTACAATAGCTGATCTAAAAAAGCAAGAAAGTTAGTAAAATTAGAAATGATTTAAAGTAGTTAGAAATGAAGCGTATAATCATGTAATATTATTTCAGATAGCTTACAATAATAATAAAGGGAATACATTTACTTAGAAAAATATATCCGTTATAAAACTTATAAGAAGGAACACATTGTTGGAATGGCTGATTTTGTGGAATAAACAGAGATCGGGCGATACTTTAGATATCACAGCTGGCTTTTATAGCTTCTTTGGCAATATTTGTTTTATTTCATTTAGATATTTAGATATTTTATTAATTATTTAATATCCATTTAATTATAATAGTTATACTGCAGGCCATAATTTAAATGTTTATCAATCTTTTACTTAATTACCCTAAGCGTACGATATAATAATTGCAAATTGTGCACTATTTTCAATAAAAAATTCTTTCAAAATTTAAAACAATAACAAAAAGTATTTGATTTGTAAAATGTGTTATAACAAAAACATTTGATATTAGTTTTATAATGTGTTTACGTAATTTATGGCCCGGTGATTGAGTATTTTATATAGTGATGTAATTACAATACTCTTTATTACAAAAATGTTACTGTACTTAGTTTTCATCATACTCCAACTAAACCAGTATTATAATTATAATAGGTTATTTATACAATGAATTATAAAACTGGATCTTGGACTGTTATGATTTGTAATTTTAATGCTATTTTTATTATATTATTTTAAATCAAATGTTCTTAACGTGCTATAAAATTCGTGACACATGCGAGTTAAGATTAATAGCTTGAACATAATCAAGTCATTTAAATGCATGATTTTACAAATTCTTTCATAACTTAATATTACTCATATGAAACATGTTTCTGGAAAGTTAATTGAACTCAAAGTAAAAGTGTTATTAACGTTTTCCAAATAATTTTTGGCGTTAAACTTTATTACCTTACTGTAGTACTTTTACTTTATTGCAAAAAAGTGAATCCTCTGTTCATTTATTGAAATCTTTGCAAGAAAAACCGTTCAGGTTACTTTCAACCCCATGCCTAATTGTTAAATCCTTTAAACACAAAAACCTATAAAAACAGTTTTCGCACAAGGCTAGTTCAAAGAAATCGTTTCAATATGTATTCTACATTTTCAAAATTTCGCTGGTAGGTTTAGACTTTAATACTGAATTTTATAAAGCTCGGGAATACATCAAAATAAACAAATAAAAAGGACTTATGTTAAACAGATTGTTTAATAAATACTTAGTTATATTTCCTTTGAAAATATTCCCTGAAGTGTATATAAATACATTTCGTTGTATTGTTACTTAATTTTTCCATTAAAAATGGTTTGTGAAGAAGTACAAAAGAGTAGTGAACGGTTTAATCTAATCAAAGTTTTATAGACTGTTCAACAACGAATTGGAGCTTGTTTACCCGTGTACGTACTGAAGGAAAACCCATTTTTAAGATTACTTAAGATCCAGCTCCTTTATATTTATTTAATAGGGTTTACGTACAGTTCATTGGTTGTTTTAAATTTTTTGTTTTGAGTGTTTTGACACCATTATCAGTTTTCCATTTTTCTCTTTGGAAGCAGTTGAAACCCCTAGTCTTGTTAAAATCAAAAGACGATCTTTTGTTTGGTTAGATCATACATTTACGGTCCAATGACAACTAAATGGTATCTAAAGTTATTTAAGTTCTAAAGAGTTTATTTACATTATTATCGCCTTCATGAAATAGTTGAAGGCAAGTAAGGTATGGCCTAAACGCTACATACACAAGGTAGCTCAAGTATATTATACTTAAAATATTTGTCACTAAAACATAACGTGATCGAGCAAATA